TCCCCCCCTTTGTACGTTCTGCGAAGAATCAGAAACTATTGAACATTATTTTGGCTCATGTCGTAACTATGCAGTTAAGTAGGAACAACTACAGCCACATCCACTCTATTCCATTCATCTATCGTAACACGGAGGAAGAAAAAGGTCCTTCCTCCGTGATCGTAAAGGTCGTCTACTCACATAACACTAAAAGTAGCAATTTTCAAGGGCAGTTCGCTCCCGCCGTAGCGGTCCACGGCAAGCTTCCGGAAAGTTTTGCTCTGATCGCAGCGGTGGAAACGATTTTTGACTGGGACCCGTCGAAATAGGGTTGGTCCAGCCAAGCCGTTGAATAGAGTCGACATGTTTGTTTTGGGAAGTGGCGGCGGGAGCGCTACGCGTTTTGTGGTAGCTCTATTTGTGTGTTATTCAGTCTAGCGACGTTTTTGGTAAGTTTTTTTTAGTTTGTGTTTGCCTCTCGGTTATGCCGGTTTGTAATGTACCAAACTATGGCGACCCGTTAAAAAGGACAATACTTCCAACATCATCGTCATTATCATCATCGTTGTTATACGGTGTATTAGAAATGAAACATTAATGCGGACTAATGGCTGGAGTGGCGCACTTCATGTCGTCGCCGACAGGGAGCGCGGGGCGCGCCTCGAGCATCACGTAAAGCGTTTCGCGGGTTTCACAAGGCGCTGTTTTGCGCGTAAGAAAAGTCAAAGTTAAGGGGTGTGTGCGATTTCTAATGCATGGATGAATGCTCCTCCACATAGCCGCTTCAGTTAACAGGTCGTGGTAGTTGAAAGCATTTAAGCTTCTTCTTTTGTTATTCACTCTGCTATCGATACGATGCTCATGCTAGTTGGCCACTATAGGAGAACAGCGACTTCACTCTCAGCAATTCGAGCCCCCACTGTTCAAATATAAACACACCTCATTTTGTAATTTTTTTCCGCTTATTAACTGGTTTAATTGTGATGGACTTAGTTTAATGTTATTTTTTTGCGAATCATTCATGGGGGTGAACCACTTGGCTTTGTTATAATGTATCCATGTCGGTATCTGAACAAGCTTTTAATTTACGACGTAAATCACACAAGTTTTCAAGGCCGGCCGGCGGCGTGTAGGTGAATATGGTAATAACATATCTAATGAAAAATATATATGCATGGTTATATCAGTACATAAGTAAATATAAAACACGTGCATACACATGATTTTACTACACTGTATAATATTGTACCAGTTCTCAGCAGCGTGAATAAAACAGGACATGAAGAAACACTCGACAGTATCACGTGCTGACAAATTCCATTTTAGTTGCACAACATCGTGTCTCACATTATGCACGAATGTAGTGGCTATATATATCACAAAATGGATAGAAAAAGCAAAAATTGTCTCTCGTGAAAGGAGAAACAGACGCAACAATGTGAATAAACGCCTGCTAATCGCCACAAAAATGGAAAAAAAAGAGAGATATGCAAGAATATTGCACGTAATTCAAAAACCTATCAGTAATCATCCAAAAGCCGAAGACAGAAACGTCGTCACTATGCAATTCTTGATGAAAAAATTTATCGATGCGCGCGCTATAGAAGAACCTACGCTCTATAGTTAACCGCCGGAGACAAACTAAAAAATATAGTGAGAACATAAAACTAGGGCGACAGAAACAACGCACACAAAATCACCCAGAAAAGCAAATTTTGCGTCGTAATATAGGTACCTGGTTGGCGCAGTTGTCCGCAACCGAAAGTTAAAATATGAAAAGGCCTATCTCGTATTGTTCTACTAATCAATTTCTCTGGCTTCACCAAAGCACGATTATGGCTTTGCAGTCATTGCCCTCATGTTTTCTTGCTTTTTTGTCGCACCTAACATTGCGGTCACTTCTAGATGGGTCCAGATCTTTTTGTTGTCAAACACTGCCCGAAAATTTCTCTGCACATACGCGGCATGCTTTGTGTGCGTGACCGCCGGAGGCTGGAAAAAGCGTGTCCTTTCCGTCCAGATGCACCGCCAAGCCGTTTTTGAGACTTCTGCGATTTGAAGATAGAAATAGATGCCAATCCTTTAGAAAAACCAGCATTCACCAGTGGCAGCAAAGCGGCTCCTGTGATACCGACAAGGTCCTTCAAACGAATGAATGGCGTGAAAATGCGCTGCACTGGCACACACGATAGAAACAGCAACGTCACTACTTGGCCAGTTTAATATATATATATATATATATATATATATATCTATATATTATATATATATAATATATATATATATATATATATATATATATATATTATATATATATATATATATATTATATATATATATATATATATATATATTCAAGACCCCAGACCCCTTATATATATAATACACATATATTATCTCTTGCGTCATTGCGGAGGCCCTCTCCTCACACTTCAACCCCCGTGTTTAACACCCCGCGACTGCAGCGTAACCAGCGAAAACCCCGGGACGCGCTTTCACACGCAGCAAGACAGAGAAGGCACTCCCGAACAGAACCCCTACCAGTTTGAGCGCTCCTGGCGGGCGCCCGATTTGTCGACGCGTGGAGGGCTATGGCGGTGCAGCGCAGAAATATGACAGTGAGCCCACGGTTTCCTTCTACAACTATAGTACACTGTAGTTGCTAAGGTAAGTTCACGCCGCACAACAAACATTACAGTTGCCATGCTGACTTGAAGTCCTTCTGTTCTGAACTGTGCTTGATACGTTGCACTCAGCTTCTTGCGCATACATCCCGCTAGAATTAACATTGCTGAAGTTTTCAGTATGTTTAAGAACAACATTTCAAAGCGGGTTTTTGTCATACTTTACGCAGCGGAAGCAAAACCACTGCAAATCTGGGATAGAGAAGGTAAAAATGCAGCATGCATCGTGTTAAAGATAACTTTATCGAGATTTTTTTAGAAGCTTGATTAGTTTCTGTAACCTTCGAACTTCACAGGTTAGAAATGGCCACATCAAAAGGATCACGGACAGACGATATCCAGTCTTTCGTGCTCGAAATACTGGGCACAAACGTCAGGTGAGATAGACGACCCATTACATTTAGTTATCTAGCGGCTATACCCGTATTCAGATTGATTGATATGTGGGGTTTAACGTCTCAAAACCACCATTTGATTATGAGAGACGCCGTAGTGGAGGGCTCCGGAAATTTCGACCACCTGGGGTTCTTAACGTGCACCCAAATCTGAGCACACGGGGCCTACAACATTTTAGCCTCCATCGGAAATGCAGCCGCCGCAGGCCGGATTTGAACCCGCGACCTGCGGGTCAGCAGCCGTGTACCTTAGTCACTAGACCACCGCGGCGTACCCGTATTCAGAAACGCTGCTTGACTTGAACTTGACTTCCCACAGAATTCAATGCGGCACAAACGCGTTTCGCATTGAAGGCGGTTTCAAGTCAAGTTAGAGTCAAGGAGCGTTTCTGAATACGGGGGTAAGGCACTTGGCTGCTGACCCGGAGCTACCGGAATCGAAACCCGGCGTGGCGGCCGCATTTCGATGGAGGCGAAAATGCTTCAGTTTGCTTAAATTTAGGTGCACCGTGAAAAAAAAAAAAAAAAAAAAAACAGGTTGTCAAGGCGTCTCTCATAATCGTATGGTGGTTGTGGGACGTTAAACTCCAACAAGTATTATTACATTTATTCTCTCATAATCATATGATGGTAGTGGGACCGTTAAACCCGAACAAGTATTATTACATTTAGTTATCATTCGCTTCTCGGGTACTAAAGTTCTTTCCGCATAAGCGCAACCGATAAAAGCTTAGCATTGTCTGTCACCTGCTGCTTGCCTTTTACTTTATTGTGCGTTAAATTACAGTCATTTTAATTATGTTATTGTATATGCAGCAACGCATATCAGTGTCACATCTAATCTATTCGGCATATACAAAAGTAAGCTCGGTTCCTATTTTTACTTTAGTAGCGATAATATATGCATAGAGAATAAAGTGCTCACAGCTAATTATTTATTCATACTCAACATAATTATCCTACTTTTTAAGTTGATTAATGAAGACCTCACCCACAAGTTAATTTTATTGGATTGTTTGAAGAGTAGTAACCCTACTCATTTTCTTCAGAAAAATGTCTTGCTGCCTAAAGCTCATTCTAATTGCGGTAAAATGACAGCATTATTCCGTGATGTTAAAATGTGGAAATTTTTTCCTCATCATATCAGAACATCGTTCTCTCGTACTAAAAAAACACTCTCAGAGCTTAATTCCTAAACCAATAATTATGTGAAATATTCATAGTGTGTTCAGAATTCTTTTAGGGGTTTTGTTTTTTCATAATGAACTTTACATGAAATGAATTTTTACTATTCATAGTGACTTTTCGTGCGTATTTTAATTTTCTCACTGTTATTACAAATTTGTATTTTTTTATTCAATACTTATTCAATTACGAAACAATCTGATGTCCTTAAAAGCATATTGTTAATGTCTTCTATCACTGTATTTTTTTTTTGCAACTAATTTACCAGTCTTTTTCGTTAGCTTAGATATTTTGACATTTTTTGTGCTTATTTCTTAACTTGTAACTAATTATCATGCACAGATGGTCCTTGTATGGTGTCCTGACCTTGGGACCCTCTTCTGTATATCCTTTAGGTTCTAAACATATTATGTAAAATAAGTGTTTGGTTTGACTTGAAACTGGAGTAGAGTAAGAACATAATCAAATTCTTATATTGTTGCAATTCTATGTCTGCATTGTAGCACAACTTTCATCACGTGCCCTGCCGATCCTCGAAAGACGTTGGGCATCCGACTTCCTTTCCTCATCATGATTGTCAAGAACATGAAGAAATACTTCACATTTGAAGTTCAGGTACACAGCTAAAGTTGTTGCTGTTTTGTGCCACCATTTGATTGTGTAACCCTGCATGTGTCGCACAGCAGAAACAGTGAAGACGGATAGCCCACAACACTCCCGTGGGGTCCGGCACCTTTGTTTCTGCTGTTACTGTGCTGTAATTAGAGTGATTATGCCAGCATTTGATCATGATCAAAGAACAGTTGCTTATGATATAATTTGCACATGCCAATAGAAATACAGTTGAAATAACAGGTTTCTAGGAGTAATAGCAAGAACTCGGCAAATAGTTGTCACAGTTTGTAGAATCGCATAGAGGAAGTGGTCTCCTCAATCAAAGGGAACTTCGACACCAGACATCCCCCTGCAGTGCCAGAGACAGAGAGTGCAGTTTGAAGCTTGGAAAGAGTGATGGTGAATTCCATTGAGAGAACAGGAGTAAGGGCGTCGTGCAGTCAGGAGTGGCGGGCAGAGCACTGAGAGTAGGGCCACTTGACCTCCCACTGGAATTTGGCACGCTTTCAGAAAGCAGGTGACGAGTGGGGAGAAATGTACCGTGTGACCAAAACGTTTGCAGCCCCGACATTCTCTGTGAGGCAGCAGCAAAATACGCATGAAATTTGTCTCTCGCATGTTCGCCATAATCCCAATTCACGGTTACATAGTACATTTGTGCAGCGATGCATTCACCAGATGTTGCTGCTTACACTTCATAGCCGTCATCGTCCCTACCATTGCTACTCATGGTTGCTACACTTGCCACCATGCTTGCTGGAAAAAAAAAAGGTAAAACAAATATAGAGAATGTGATGTTTGAAAGTCGCATGACTTTTCGTACTGCGCCTACTCCACTTTTCAGGCGAGAGCACTGCCTGCAAACTGCTCCTGCCTGCTCCCAGAGCCACAAAAACGCTCTCGCTCCACCACTGGATGACAGTGCTCTTACAACTTGTCGTGTATCCGGCACGGCGACACAAGAAAGTAACCACGCTACACCACTGTACGATCCATGACAATAATCCAGTTTAATCAGCGAGTATCATTTATATACACACGAGCGCAGTGGCGCCATCTATTGTGAGTCCAATGACCCAGAAGGTCATCTGGTGTAAACGCACAACACTACATCTACCCCCTCCCTTGATAATAGAACACAGATTATGTGCATAGGAAAGAAACAGTCACTACCCGTGACAGAAAACTATAGTAAGTCTCCACTGTAAACAAGTCACTGCACATAGTCCCCGAGTCTCTCTGGTGGTCTTCGCTCCCGTGTAGAGGCTGCTCTTCTGGCTGATGGACGACCTCTGGTTCGTCGGCACAATCAGCACCCAGTCCTGCGGTCGTGTTCCCCGTTGGTGGAGGCCGTGGTGGGCTTGGCGTATGAGGAGGTAGTGCTGACCCCCCCCCCCCCCGGAGACTGTGCAGCTTCCTGTATTGGGATATTTTGTGTGGTCGTGTGGCTATTTGCCTTCGAGGACGGTTTTCGTGCTGTGGCGTTTCCTGCCGACCCGTCTGTGTCCATGTCCGCCCACAGCCGTTCTTGTCTTGCCCCCGTTTCTTCGTGAACAGCTTCATGGGGTACAGCCGACAGTTGGGAGGCATTCCAGGTACGGCCGTCCTCCAAGTGGAATGACCATCGTGCTACCCGCCTCAGTATTTTGAGTGGAGCCCCAAAACTAGGGGTGCCTTTTATTTCAGGTACCGGGCGTTTCACCTGCACGTAGGCCCCCACTTTAAATTTGGGCTCCCGGGCTGCTCTTCGCTTGTCTGCATACGCCTTATTTTTTTGTTGGTATTCACAGACACGACGCTGAAGTCTACGCAGTTCGCGGGCGGGATGGGTGCCGAAATCCGCTGATGGCTGGCCAACAACATCTAATGATGTGTTCATGTGGCGGCCATGAAGCAACACTGCTGGAGAGATGCCAGTGGCGCTGTGGGGTGTGGCTCGGTAAATACCCAGGTACTCTATAACTGTGGTCTTGATTGGTCGCTGCTCTAGGAGAGCTAGTTGTATATACGATTTCAAGACCCTGTTGAATCTTTCCACTAAGCCATTGGCTTGAGGGTGGTAAACTGCCGAGAAGAAATGCTTGATGTCCCTGTCTTCAAGGAAGCACTCGAATTCACTCGACGTAAACTGTCGGCCGTGATCTGAGACTAGTTCAGTCGGGTAACCCTCTCGCGCTAAGACAGCAAGCAGAAAGTTGATCACCGTGCGAGAAGTGATGTCACTGCAGAACGCAATCTCTGGCCATCTGGAGAAGTAGTCCACTACCACGATGACAAAATCGACAGTCGGCCGGTGCACGTTCAAAGGGGCCCATGATGTCTATTGATATTTTGTCCCAAGGCCTGTCAGGAAGCGGGACAGGCTGTAGTGGGGCTTGCCAGTTCTTGACACTCTTGTCCGAGGCTTGACAGGCGCTGCAACTCCTGACGGCGGCCTCCACATGCTTGTCAAGGCAAGGCCACCAGTACTTCTCCCTGATGCGCTGCTTAGTCTTCACAATTCCTGGGTGTGACTCATGAGCTAACTGGATGAATGTATCCCTTAGCTTGGCAGGCACTACAACGCGTTCTGTGCGCAGAAGCAACCCCTCTACTACCGAGAGCTCGTCTCGTATTTCGTAGTATGGAGTCAGTTCTGCGGCAAGTTTTTTCCTTGTTGGCCATGATGACTGGATAAATTGCATTACCTGCCGTAGTATGTCATCCTCCGCGGTAGCAACCTGAAGATTCTCCCGATGTACAGACGATGTAACCAAGGACACAACCTCTTCATCATCATGGAAGCCCCCTTCTGTGTCTGGCACGGGTAGTCTGGACAAGGCATCTGCTACCTGGTTGTGGGCTCCACTGCGGTACTGTATTTTGAAGTTGTAGCGCAGCAGTCGTGCGGTCAACCTTCAATACGAAGTGGCCGCTGTCCCGTGCTACGGGATGAGAGCAGTGCCACCAAAGCCTGGTGATCCGTCAGTAGAGTAAATGATCTGCCCCAGAGGTAAACGTGCCACTTCTCGCAGGCCCACAGACAGGCAAGGGCCTCGCGCTCTCCCGCCGAGTATTTTCGTTCTGTCTCTGTTAATGTCCGCGATGCAAATGCCACAGTACGCACATGGGACCCCTCCACTTGCTGCAGTACGGCACCGAGACCGTACGCAGAGGTATCTGTTGCAACAATGACAGGTAGCGTCGGGTCAAACATTCGGAGGACCTTGTGGGATGCTAAAAGTCTTTTTACTCCTGCGAAGCTCTCTTTTGCAGCGTCATCCCAGTCGAAGTGCACGTCTTTGCGAAGTAGACGATGCATTGGCTCTACTTGCTCTGCCAGTCGCGGCACGAATTTGGAATAGTATTCAACTAGCCCCCAAAAGGAGCGTAGCGTGGCTGCATCTCTAGGCGCAGGAGCATTGATGATTGCATCAATCTTGGTCTGGAGCGGTGCTATACCCTCTGCGCTGACGCGATGTCCTAAGAACGACAGCTCCGACGTGTTGAAGACGCATTTTTCGTTGAGCTTGAGCCCAGCTTCTGCTATTCGTTCCAGCACTTGCTCCAGGTTTTGCCTGTGTTCGCTCTCCGTCTTGCCAGAAATGATTATGTCATCCAAGTAGCATAAGACCCCTTTGCAACCTCCAAGAATTTTCGTCATGATCTGCTGAAACGCAGCTGGTGCCGATGCCAACCCGAAGCAGACCCTCTTGAATCTAAAGAGGCCATCGTGAGTTATAAATGAAGTTATGTCCCTGCTGTCTGGGTGCAGCACAACCTGGTAGTAGGCTGATGCCAGGTCCACCTTGGAAAAGCAGTGGGCTCCATCGAGGGCATGAAGCAGCTCCTCCATATGAGGCAAAGGGAAGTTGTCTGCTACTATAGCTTTGTTGGGTTCCCGGAGATCGACACACAGTCGAATGCTACCATCTGCTTTGCAGGCTGCTACAATAGGAGATACCCACTCGGGAGCATTGACTCTCTCAATGACATCAGCAGCAAGTAGCTTCTCAATCTCGTCAAAGACCGACTGGCGGACTGAAAATGGTAGGAGTCTCAGCTTCTGTGCGACTGGCGCGACGGAAGTTTTCATCTTAACTTTGTGTTGCACACCTCTTACAAGTCCCAGGCCAGGCAAAAACAAGTGGCCAAACTTGGTCCACAGTGTTGGCGGCATTCCAAACTTGGGAGGGCCAAGGGGTTTTTCATGCCTGGGGCTTTGGGGAAGGCCTGAACTCATTGCTGGAAGCTCTCGGCATTCCTGCGTGGACATTTGCAGGCAGCGCAATTCGTCTCCCATGATGCGAAGGCCAAGGGCTTGAACAGCATCCAGGCCAAGGAGAGATGTACCAGATGGCGTAACATGAAAAGTTACAATGGCTTCTTTCCCCTTGTATGTGACTATGGCGTGAAATGACCCGAGAACGGGAATCTTCCTGCGCGAAAAATCCAGCAATGTAAGATGGGAACTTGTCAGTTGTACTGCGTTTGCGAACAAGCCTTGGAATTGGTGCTCACCCATAATAGACACGGCCGAGCCTGTGTCCACCAAAAAGTTCATGGTATGCACCCGTGTCGTCGCGGTAATTGACGCGACATTGACATCCACGTAGACGCCTGTGCTCTTGTTAGTATGGACCGCCAAGATGCTAATGACACTGGTAGCATCCTCTTCCGGAACGATTTCCTGGACCTCTGCAGAATACCCTTCTCGGCCGCGACGGTAGCTGCGACATGCTCTCTTAAAATGGCCGCGGCATCCGCAGGCAAAACATGTGTGACCGCGCGCGGGACATTCCGTAGGCGAACACCGTGCTGCGCCGCAGTTTTCGCAGGCATTTACATTTCTAGGCCCGGGGACAGCAGCGGCGGCGGCATTCATATCAGGCGAAGGTGCGCTGTACGCACGTGAGCAGCTGAAGTGGCGACGGCCCGGGAGGCGTGTGCCATTATCGTCGTTATCTCGTCGATCGTGCCTGGCTGAGCTGTCTCGCAACTGCTGCTGAATGCGCTGCACA